GGACCGTATAAAATTGTGGTCTTCATATCTGGTTGGTCAGGATGGTGTTATCCTTTTTTTCCAGCGGTTCAAGGATCTATGGTTCTCTTTTTTCCAGTGGCTCGGTGTGCTGTGGTCCTACTTTTCAGTGGTTATAAGGTACGTGAACATTTTTTTTACAGTGGTTCTTTCTTTTCAGTGATCCAAGAGACTATAATTCTTTTTTTTATTCAGTGGCTGTGAGTGTTGCTGTCCTTCTCTCCAGTGGCTCTGTGTGCTGTGATCACTCGTCTCATGATTTTGTGTGCTGTGATCCTTCCCTTCCGTGTTTCCCTGTGTTTTGATTCTTTTTTTCAGTGGTTTTGAATGCTGTGAGACTTCTTTTCAGTGGCTTAAGAGGCTGTGATCCTTCATCTCACTGGCTCTGGGATCTACAATCTACATTTTCAGTAGTACAGGGTTCTGTAACCCTTATATCCAACGGGCCATACGGGTTAAGTGCTTGCTGTGTAGTATATAATAATAATTCTATTGACTTTTCACTCTGTAGAGGATCTCTTATTTCATAAAAAGCTTTATGTTCGTTATAGCTAACCATTATAACGTAAATAATGTAATTTCACTATATACATTTTGCGTTTCCAAAAAGATTTTTTCAAACTCGTAAGATCAGATTTGGTTCTAGAACCAACAGGAGACTTCAACACTCCAAGTTGTCTTTTGTTTCAAGGAAAAGGTAAGAGGACTCAGTAGCAAGTGTTAGGGTCGTGGGTTTTCTTAAGGAATCGAATTGCTTATCGAGAGAGTTTTTTTTTTTTCACTTTTTTTTCCTTTCAGGACAATGTCCACCAACTGAATTATTGTACGTGCAAAATAAATGATGCAGTAAATAATCGTTAGCAGATAGTTTAGAGTTTACCCGTTAACGCTAACGTAGATAAATTTCGTTGTTTATTTTTTTTTTAACCTCCGTGAAAACACGAATGTTTTTTTCCCGTCACTCAGAAACTTTTCAGCTAAAAATTCAACACTGTGTTAGGGATTTCATTAATTTCAGCGGAGATGAGAGTCAATGTTGACACTAGAGGCGACTCCTCACCCGTGTTATTAAAAAGATAGGTAATAATTGGCCAATTTATTTGCTCACGTTTGTGTGTGTATATACAGAGCTAAGCGTTCAGGTACGCACCTTGCTGGTGTATGAGCAGCAACACGTCATTTGATAGCTTTACCACCGCTGTTATCCTGAGTAATTGATATCACATGACTCCTGTGATCGTATTTGCTTGGACATCCTCCACTTTTCCGCAACATTGCAAGCTCCTGATGATGTGTTGATTGCAACACGAAAGGCCTAGAACTATCATCCTACTCACCTCGTGGTTGTTTTGCATGTATATATATATATATATATAATATATATATATATTATATATATATATATATATATATATATATATATATATATATATATATATATATATATATATATATATAAAGGAAAGAGGAACGTGGGTTGGGGAGAGTACCCTGGGGTAGGGAGACTTACCTAGAAGAAGCAGATATCGACGTTGTTGATAAGGACGCTCCGTCCCTCCAATAAGATCATTGGGAACCCCCGTGAGACCTTCCACCTGCCAGGTGCCAGTGGGTGTGTGTTATGTGTGTGTGTGTGTGTGTTGTTGTGTGTGTGTGTGTGTGTGTGTGTGTGTGTGTGTGTGTGTGTCTTTGTGTATCTGTGTCTGTGTCCTGTGTCACCCTCACACGATAGTTAGGTGGTGGTGATTCTCTCTCTCTCTCTCTCTCTCTCTCTCTCTCTCTCTCTCTCTCTCTCTCTCTCTCTCTCTGTCTCTCTCTCTCTCTCTCTCTCTCTCTCTCTCTCTCCTCTCTCTCTCTCTCTCTCTCTCTCTCTCTCTCTCTCTTCTCTCTCTCTCTCTCTCTCTCTCTCTCTCTCTCTCTCTCTCTCTCTCTCTCCTCTCTTTTTCTCTCCGTCGTGTCCACAAGAACGCCTAATTGAGTCTCAATTCTCCTCTTAATCTCCCATTTCTTGCCGTTACAAGCTCCTGAAGAGGTCTGGTGACAGTTCGAAAATGCTTAATATATATATATATATATATATATATATATATATATATATATATATATTATATATATATATATATATATATATATATATATATATATATATATATATATATATCTCCCTAGTATATTTCTGAAAATTAGATTAGTGCTGCTGAATGACAATGGGCTCGTTGCCAAATTATTCATCACAGTTCTCGTGTAAATGATTCAGCTATTCATTTTACTAAACATTTTAATATCCTACTCGGCATATTCAATTATGGAATATACATAATAATTTAATATAATGGGCCTATATAATATATAATTTATATGTAGATGTCGTTTTTTTTTTCTAAATATATTGTTAAATTGTTTTGATGCTTAACGGCGAGTGAATTTTTTTAACCGAGTGTGATTTTTTAAATTTAAAATTGTGTACAATTCGCTTTGCCATCGCTGCGTTTCTATATTTAGGAACAAATTTCTCTTCAATGGCGCGACTTTCAGCGACGTAAGCTTAATTAATACACACCCATGAGTAGTCGATTGTTTATTAAACCCTCTTTCAACAACCAATGTACTTCGCTGAGAAGATGTCAGTCGCTCTCTGGCTGACATATTAATGGTGATTTCTTGCTGTGTTGTGTTGCAGCACGAGCTGGTAGTGGCACGGAGGAGCAGGGAGAGACAAGTACATACCCTGTAAGGTCAGTGTTGATGACGTCATGACAACCTCCCTACTCCTCAACCTCAACTACAGGTCATGTCGTACGGGAAGATGACCGGCACCTCCAGCAACCATAGCTAAGGTCAGTGTCCGTGATGACTGTGTTGTTCATAATAAAGTACGGTAGTAACCATAGCTAAGGTCAGTGTCCGTGATGACTGTGTTGTTCATAATAAAGTATGGTAGTAACCATAGCTAAGGTCAGTGTCCGTGATGACTGTGTTGTTCATAATAAAGTACGGTAGTAACCATAGCTAAGGTCAGTGTCCGTGATGACTGTGTTGTTCATAATAAAGTACGGTAGTAACCATAGCTAAGGTCAGTGTCCGTGACCGTGTTATCCACAAGTAAATATGGTATCACCTATAGTTTAGGTCAGTATCCATGACGGTGTTGTTCGCAAGAAAAACAAATTAGGCATTGAGAGGGATGTCAAGAAGGGAGGAAAGGCCTGAGGCATAATATAACAGTAATAATGGCTGTGGATAAACAGGAAGACAAAGTTAAGAAAGAATGACAAATCTGATCACTTTGGCTGGATATCAGTGATATGTAGCAACCATACTGGCTGTCAGCACCGTACTGGCTGTCAGCACACAACTGAGTTACAGTCATAGTGACTCGCCTACATATATATATATGTATATATATATATATAAATATATTATATATATATATATATATATATATATATATATATATATATATATATATATATATATATATATATATTAATATGCATTAATTTATACGTGCAGGGGCTGTTTAAGTGGTAATTTAGTTGTCTGTTATTAGACTAGAGGACATCCACTTTTTAATTAAGGGAAAATATGGTAGTGAGATATTAGACAGCAAGAGTTACGCTCCTTGAGTAATAATGTATTAATTTATATGCGCACGAAACCAACATTGTCGTTTTAGTCGTTTTATTGCGAGGGTTTACTGAGAGAGAGAGAGAGAGAGAGAGAGAGAGAGAGAGAGAGAGAGAGATGCTGTGAGCAGCCTCCCTAGAGAACACGTTATCACAAACAGATATCACTGTGCATTAACATTCTAATCTTGCAGCTGTCAACGTTGGCTAAATAAGTCATAGATTAATATATATTCTGACTCGTGAATTTGCTTTCGCGTTTTAGTTTGCAAAGAAAAAATAATCGTTATAAGCTGTGTACGAACCTTTATGTAAACACGACGTAAGTCAAGAACAGTAATTAATTTTTCGAATCACCACTCTTGCATCAATTAAAAAAAAAAGTGACTCAAGAAATCTTGTTTGCTAAAATTGGCCAGAAAAAAAAAAACATTTTTTCCTTATATATTGGTCGTTTGTGTTCAAGTTGTGACATGTTTGGTAACCGAAGTACAGAACTGTAATAAATTCTGACCAGTGGCACAAACATTGATCCCATCTTCAGCAGAACAACAAGTGTATGATCGTGTTGCTTTATTCGTCAAAAATCCAAAGAATGTGAGTACATAGATCCCACAGAAGAGCCATAGTATAGTGGGATACAGTCACACTCAGTACGAGCGTTTAAATGACGTTACAGCACTTAGACTTGTATACAAAGCCAGATCACGTGACCTAAGTCACTTTAAATGATCTAGGTCAAGTACTGGAACGTATAAATATTTGTTTTAGGAGAGTAGTAGTAGTTATAGAATCAGGCTTCCACCGGCCTTGAGAAATATTAAAGTTGAGCTTAAATGTAACCTCATTTGACTCAAGGATCCGTCGTCTATACCAACACGCAGCAATGACGTTCTTGTATTACCATCACGAGGGATCCTTCCTACTATCATAACAATTCCTATTTTTTTCCAGTATTTTCTCTGCAGTCATCTCCTCCACCCTACTTTACACTACATTACACCAGGTTCTTCCCACCACACCCCAGGTTACACACACACACACACATACACCCCAGGCTCGTCCCTACCACACCCCTCAGTACCACACTTACCACAACACCCCTTACAATTAAAATTACCACCTCACTCTCCACCCCGTGGTAATAACCATATCGCACAGCCTCACCCTTGTACCTCGTCTCCACGCCTTTACTCTTGTACCCAGGTGAGTGTGAGGGTTGCAAGTATCCACAGTATCTGTTGTGGGTGTTGCAGATACCCACCACAACTATTGTGTGAGTTGCAGATACATAGACAACTATTGTAAGTGTTGGTGTTGGTGAGAGTTGGTCAATAACAGTGTTCGTGGGTGCAGGTGGAAGCTACGGACAAGGACTGGCTGGACCACCACGGATTACTCTACACTGTACGTGGTGACGGTGTTGATGGTTACCTGCCAGACGATGCTTTCTTCACTGTCAACTCTCTCACAGGAGACCTCATCCAACTGAAGGTAAGTGTCACACACACACACACACACACACACGCACACGCACACACACACACATACATACCTCATCCAACTGAAGGTGTCTCCCCTCACACACACATACACACACACACACACACACACACACACACACCACACACACACACACACACACACACACACACGCACACACACGCACACACATACATACCTCATCCAACTGAGGGTAAGTGTCTCCCCTCACACACACACACACACACACACACACACACACACACACACACACACACACACACACACACACGCACACACACACACAACACACACACACACACACACACACACACACACACTACATACCTCATCCAACTGAGGGTAAGTGTCTCCCTCACACACACACAACACACACACATCCACACACCACATCACGCACACACGCTACACACGCACACACATACATACCTCATCCAACTGAAGGTAAGTGTCTCCCCTCACGCGAGCCTGTGTCATTTTCAACTTCAAGTGTTTCGCTCTTCAGTGTCAGGTCACAGTGATCCAGGAGGGACCGAAACGTAGTCGTCACAAGGTTTCTCTCCACCTAAATGCGGAGTTTTAGTGCATTGTTCCAGCCAGGGTATTGTGATTTTTTGTTTTAATTTTGAATCATATAGTTTTTTCGCCACTTTTCGCCCCTTTTCGCCAATTTTGAGAATCATTCTTCTCATGCTCTTAATTTTTATTTCTTCTTTCTTTCGTTACTCTCATTATTCTCTTTCGGCTTCTCCTCCTCCTCGTTATTCTCAAAATTCTTCTTACAATTTCTATTTTTCACTATTCTTAGTTTTCTTACTTATGCTCTTATTCATTTCTTCTGAATGTTTTTTTTTTATATAATTTCTGTTCTGCTTCTCTCCTCCTCATTATCTTCGTTTCTTCATATTTTTATCATTCTGCATGTTTCTCCCATTATCCATCTCTTCCTTCCAGTCATTGTTATCGGCTCATCTTCTAAATTCTTGTCATCATTCTTCATTTGCTTCCCTCATTCTTATCCTCTCCTCTCTTTCCAGTCTTCTCGTCATTATTCACCTCATTCTTCCGTCATTCTCTCTGCGTTTGCCTGACCTGTAGTTAACCTGAGCTAACAGGAGCAGATTACACCAGGTAATGCCTTACCTGTATACCTGTCCGGTCCAGTTAATTGCAGCCTCCTGGACCCTGATCAACGAGGACCTGGTGAGTGACGGTATTGTTAGGTTTAAAAAAAATATTTCACCGAGGAAGGACGATCAATAAAAAAAATGGTAATCTGTGTGCTGGCGGATATAATGGAAGGGATTATTATTATTATTAGGGATTATTATTATTATTAAGTATCCCCCCCCCCCGATTTATATTTAAGCTGCTGACCATATTTTTTTAGCTTCAAGATTTTGGTTCGTTATTCGTTTTCGAGTAATTTTGGGGGGGTTAATTTAATTTATGGTGATTGTGTGTGTGTGTGTGTGTGTGTGTGTAGGCGCTATCTGGTCAGATTTACGTAGATAACATCCAAGTTTCTTAGTATCCGCGCGATAACTCGGGAAAGCCTCGTCTGGTAGGCGTCAGAATGTCAACACTAGTGTATCCTACTTATGAAAACAGTTGGGGTTGACAATTTTATAATTAGAATTAGCATGGTATACTCCCATGAAATAACCTAAGTCTTCTAAGCAGTTTCAGTCTTGAATAACTGATGCTTCTTATAAGAAGTATAGAGGAGCGCATAGTTAGTTCACAATCTTGGTTAAAAGAAGATGTGAATATGCTCGAAAAGTCCGAAGATGTAGTATCATACCCCGGTGGTCATACGAGGCTCGAGAACAGTGACATTAAATGTAAACGAGAATGTAACTAATAACAGATTCCAATTTCTAAATGGAGAACACCTGAGGAGATGTGACTGTGCCTTTGAATGAGGTCGCCGTTAGTTTCGTAAGAGATCTCTGGTTAGACATCAAAGCATAAATGTGTAAATGAGAGGACGATTTCCTGGGGATACTTAGCTACGTAACCGTGTCTAACTGGTAAGTTTAAATTCTTACTTGTGTTCTTTATTTCATGTTCCAGTCAAGTCAGTTTTATTTCCTAACAGTGTTTACGTATTTTCTTTGGTTTTATGTGGGTATCTTGGCGTTTATGGTTTTAATATGTGAAGATGTGCTATGTAAGTTGTGAGATATTACCATGGTTAGAGTTGTTGTTCTGTTTACTTGTTGGTAAACACATTATATTAAGTATATTTTTTGTGAACAAACAATATATGGAGATTTTTGTTAATGTTCCACTAACTCATGCCAGCCTGACTTGATGCAGATGTTAATCCGTGTCATAACAACATGTTACACCTTTCTTTTAGCGCAGGTGTTGCTGCCCGCCACACTAGTACTTCTCACCTAACATGTGTCTTCGTACAGGCGCTGGACCGGGATCCTCCCAGAGGGAAGGATGCATGGAAGGTGAGAGTACAGGTGAGGGACGGCCAGGCACTCTGGAGCAAACGAGCCATAGATCGTCTTCTCGCATCCAGCTCAAGCAAACAACAAAAAACCTAAAAGAGAAGACGACTGGGAGACGAAGGAACCTCCGTGATAAATCAAATATCAGATCAAAGAGAGAAAAGGTGAAAGAATCCGCTGGGTTAAGAAGCAGCAATGGAAAGATGAATGTTGAAGCACAAGAACCAATTGAAAACCTCCCAAAAATAACAGAGGAAAGTCATCTCTCAGGACACACGTTAATAACTTCAGTGAGTGAAGATAGCAAACATATGTCACTTTCGGAGGCACGCGAAGACTCGCATCTTTCAAAAGAGGCAAATTACCCAAGAGAGCTTTCAGGGGAAACTGAAAGTAAATCATGTGAGGCATATAGACACAGGACAACATCAACGTGGGGGACTACAGACGTTCACAGGAGAATAAAGTATGATTCTGGAGGAAGTAAAGATTTCGGTGATATAGAATTAAAGCACAACCGCGGTAGTAAAGAAGAAAGAGCAAAACAAGAGAGAGCAAATAGCGTTTCAGTGGCTAGGAAAAGTCATCCTGGAGGCGGGTATCCCAGAGCAATCAGAGATCTGGAATTACACTCAGATGGCCAGTCCCTCTCTACTTTAAATTTCCACTCAGAGACCAAGATCAGCTACTCTAAACGCAAAAGCCGTAACTACAAGTTAATTTCCCAGTTTTCCCAGCTCTTAAACATTAACACAACACCTGTCCTTCGAAGAATAACTTCAGACATTAAATCAAGAAAAATAACAGCTTTTGTTGCCATGGACAAAGAAGCAGCAGATATCACTGTATCAGGAGACAATAAAAAGAACAATTTCCTCGACAAGCAAACATCTGCATTCCCAACTAATGTTTTGGAACCCACGATAAAATCTCGGACCGGCAGTAAAACCACACAGGCAGAAAATTCAGATCATATGTCTTCACCAGCTGCACGTTTTGGAAACAGAATGACGAGAAGGACTCCCCAAGCTTACAGACTTCCTCGGCAGGCTGGCGTCCCCTCCAGCAGCAGGAGGATATCGGAACCATCGGGAGAGGGACCTTTTAGAACCAGGAGCGAGGAACACACTAAGGGAACTGCTACATCAGCAACAACAGGACGCTACAAACTGAGTAGCTACAACTACAAAGTCAGAACAGAGAAATCAGCAAAAGAGGAACCATCCAGAGGTTGGAAAATGTCGAGTTCAGCAGTACAGGAATCCTCCAGAGGCAGGAGAACATCGAGGTCAGCAGAAGAGAACTACGAACTGGGTAACTTCAGCTCAGACAGCGGCTGCGACGACGCGGCTAATGGCAACAAGACAGAGGCGACAGGTCGTCGTCTGGACGGCAGCAGTTTACAAGGTGTGGCTGGGTCGCGGGTACACGTAGCGGAGACTGTGGTGACGGTGCTGGTGAAGGACATCAATGACAACCCTCCAGTCTTCCCTAACGCAACCATGTTTGGTGAGGTCCAGGAGAACGGTCCTATTGGTGAGTACACTCTCCATACATTTAGTGAGATTACTGTCCATACACTTGGCGAGTACACTCTCCATACACTTGATGAGTATACTGTCCATGCACTTGGCGAGTATACTGTCCATGCACTTGGCGAGTACACTTTGAGTCTCAGGTTATAGGCAATATGTGACCTCTGGCAAGGCTGTTCTACAATTACCAAGCCAAGGCCCCTACCACCGCACCCTGCCGACCTAACAAGGCCAACAAGGTGTGGTGACAGGAGGGTTTTCTTGGTAATATAAGGACTGTCATACCGTGGTTCGTATTCACCTCTCTCTGAGTTGTTCGTTATAATGTATAATTTGACGAGGACACTTTGCTGTCGTCTGTGATTACATGTTATTAACTCTTGTTAACTGGTTATTTGTGTATTTAGCTGGTATTGGTCACTCAATGCATTATTATTATTATTATAATCAAAAAGAAGCGCTAAGCCACAAGGACTATACAGCGCTGCAGTGAGTGTAAATGTGGACCACCAGGTGGTTTTTATGTAGTTAGTTGATGGGGTGTATCAGGGAGATAAGATGTTTTCTAACAGTAGTTTTGAAGGTGATGAATGTGTCTGCTGTTCTAGAGTTTTCAGGTAGTGTTTTCCAGATTTTAGGGCCTTTGACATACATTGAGTTTTTGTAAAGGTTTAGTAGGACATGGGGAATGTCATAGAGATGTTTGTGTCACTCAATGCAAGTGGCACTGGGGCTCGATCTTCGTCCGCTTATCGCGAAACAGACACGATTCCTACCTTTGAAGGCGTTAGTACGTTGATCTACGGTAGAACTTTATCGTGTCTTGTGTAAACCCTTATCACGTCATGTGTGGAGCTTTATCACATATTGTGTAAAGTTTCGTCACGTCTTGATAAAGCTCTGCAATGACGGATACTTCGCCCCAATACATGCTGGTTCAGCAAGTACGTGGCGGTGGAAGGAAACAGAATCCCTTCTAGGAAATCTCTTTCTTCTTCTAGCAGTGGAAGCGAGCATTAAGGGTCATTTTGCCAGCGAGGGAGCACGATGGGTGAGCTCTCTGGGGTTATGTCTCGTAAGGACCGTGTTTTTGACGGAGATCACAAAATAGCGAGGCAGCAGAGGCGGAATAACAACCTGGGCGGCAGCTGCGTGTGTGTGTGTGTGTGTGTGTGTGTGTGTGTCGCATCCAGTGTGGGTGGCAGCAGGCCTGGCAGGGCTTGTGGGCGGCAGAGGGCGGCAGCTACCCTCGTCTGCATTAAAGATGCATTTGTGTCTGCTGGGAGAGATATTAGCCGCAGTAAATGAGTGTAAAACCGCCGTCACCTGTCACGACTACCTTTTTCCCTAAGACATTCCTTGTCTCCAAGATGACGAGGTGCAAAGAATACACAAATATTTACTGTTTATATATATATATTATATATATATATAATATATATATATATATATATATATATATATATTATATATATATATACCTACTTTTATGAGTACATAATATAGTGTATAATATTGGATGGATTATCTCAGTGTTTTTGCCTATTTCCTCCTTTGATATTGGGATCATGTTACACAGGTTTTTTTTTTTTTTTTTTTTTTTTTTTTTTTTTTTTTTTTTTTTTTTTTTTTTTTTTTTTTTTTTTTTTTTTTTGTGTGTGGTGTGTTGTGTGTGGTGTGTGGTGTGTGTGTGTGTGTGTGAGTGTGTGGTGCAGCAAAGCGTGAAATTATGTGTGGGAAGAAACTGAGGCATGGAATAAAGGATAAGGAAAAGAAACATGGAAACACTGGTACAGAAAAGAGGCAGGGTAGAGAGGCAGGGTAGAGAGGCAGGGTAGAGAGGCAGGGTAAGAGAGGCAAGGTAGAGAGGCAGGGTAGAGAGGCAGGGTAAGAGAGAGGCAGGGTAGAGAGGCAGGGTAGAGAGGCAAAGTAGAGAGGCAGGGTAGAGAGGCAGGTAGAGAGGCAGGGTAGAGAGGCAGGGTAGAGAGGCAGGGTAGAGAGACAGGTAAGAGGCAGGGTAGAGAGACAGGGTAGAGAGACAGGGTAGAGAGGCAGGGTAGAGAGGCATGGTAGAGAGGCAGGGTAGAGAGGCAGGGTAGAGAGACAGGGTAGAGAGACAGGGTAGAGAGACAGGGTAGAGAGACAGGGTAGAGAGACAGGGTAGAGAGGCAGGGTAGAGAGACAGGGTAGAGAGGCAGGGTAGAGAGACAGGGTAGAGAGGCAGGGTAGAGAGGCAGGGTAGAGAGACAGGGTAGAGAGGCAGGGTAGAGAGAGGCAGGGTAGAGAGGCAGGGTAGAGAGGCAGGGTAGAGAGACAGGGTAGAGAGGCAGGGTAGAGAGACAGGGTAGAGAGGCAGGGTAGAGAGGCAGGGTAGAGAGGCAGGTAGAGAGGCAGGGTAGAGAGACAGGGTAGAGAGGCAGGGTAGAGAGGCAGGGTAGAGAGGCAGGGTAGAGAGGGCAGGGTAGAGAGGACAGGGTAGAGAGGCAGGGTAGAGAGGCAGGGTAGAGAGACAGGGTAGAGAGGCAGGGTAGAGAGGCAGGGTAGAGAGGCAGGGTAGAGAGGCAGGGACCAGAACTGTTTTAAAGGCGTCATGATGAAATATCTTTCACGAAGACAATACAACAGAAAACACTCCCGTTAGCCGCTGACTGGCTCTTGATCCAGTCAACTGGAGTCACTCTCCTCTCCCACGGATCAAACCTGGTCACCTCTCACCCCCCCCCCCCAAACGTGTTACTGTGTACGTAACAGATTATATCCGAAGAATTCCCTTTCATGCTGGAGAAGGGCTTTTGATCCAAGGAATTTTAACTACCCTCCACTTCCTAGGATCAAAACTGATTACTTTCCGTTTTAAAAGGCTCTGTCAGCCCCTGCGGGTTTAGGAACTCCAAAGAAATTTAATAATAAATATAATTAATTAAGTGTATAAGTCGCTACAGAAAAAAATATATATATTATAAATTATTAAATAAAAAACATTTGGAATAATTTTTTTTTCTTTTTTTTGGCATTTGAATTATATTTTTTATGTTTAATTTTTTTGAATTTTGATTTATTTATTTTTTTTTTTTTTTGACAGTTGAATTATTTTTTTGGACATTTGAATTTTTTTAACATTTTTTTTTAAATTTAAAATAATATTTTTTTCACATTTGAATTATATTTTTTTATATTTATTTATTTTTTTTGACTTTTTATTTATTTTTTTTTTTTTTGACAGTTAAATTATTTTTTTGGACATTTGAATTTTTTTAACATTTATTTTTTTTGGGGGGGAAATTTAAAATTATATTTTTTTCACATTTGAATTATATTTTTTTATATTTATTTATTTTTTTTTTTTTTTTTTGACTTTTGATTCATTTATTTTTTTTTTTTAACATCATTATTTTTTGGACATTTGTATTTTTTAACATTTATTTTTTTTTTTTTTTTTGAAATTTAAAATAGCTTTTTTTGACATTTAAAATATTTTTGTTTACATTTGTTAGATAAAATTATATATTATATATATATATATATATATATATATATATATATATATATATATATAATATATATTATATATAATATATATATATATATATAATGTAATTAAGTACGACCTGTTTCACCCCCAAAAAAAAATTAGGTGTAGGTGTATGATCCGGAAATGATTCAACATTTTTTTTAATGGTAATTATGTGCTGGATATGGTTACATTCGGTGTGTTGAGCTCCAGCTCCTGGAGATGCCTTAGGGCCTTTGTTAACACCCCGGAGAATGTCCATAGTCTTGGAGATATAAGATAGAGAGTCTCAGGTGTCAGGGGGGGGCGTAGTCTTGAGGGTGTTCTTGGGGGGTCAACGCCCCCTCCTTCATCAAGCAGCTATAATTAGGTAAGGCTAGCCAATGTTTGTTAGGAAACAGGATAAGTGCTTCCTGACGCTGGTCTTAGTCATATGATGACTTCGCAGTTGGAACTTTTTGGTTATCTGACTGAGACCTCTCCGCTGGCTTACCTTTAAAAATTATGGTTATATATGTCTAGCAATCCCAGGCTGTTACCAGGTAACCGTGCTAATGATGGTATGTGTACCAACTTCTGCTGCAGATGGTACACGGTCCCGACTGACCTGTGGTGTAAACTGCAGCAACACTGGTCAGTACAGGAACTAGGTAATGGATCATTCCACTGAGACAGGAACTAGGTGATGGATCATTCCACTGAGACAGGAACTAGGTGATGGATCATTCCACTGAGACATGAACTAGGTGATGGATCATTCCATTGAGACATGAACTAGGTGATGGATCATTCCACTGAGACATGAACTAGGTGATGGATCATTCCACTGAGACATGAACTAGGTAATGGATCATTCCACTGAGACATGAACTAGGTAATGGATCATTCCACTGAGACATGAACTAGGTGATGGATCATTCCACTGAGACATGAACTAGGTAATGGATCATTCCACTGAGACGTGAGCTAGGTAATGGATCATTCCATTGAGACATGAACTAGGTAATGGATCATTCCACTGAGACATGAACTAGGTAATGGATCATTCCACTGAGACATGAACTAAGTGATGGATCATTCCATTGAGACATGAACTAGGTGATGGATCATTCCACAGAGACATGAACTAGGTAATGGATCATTCCACTGAGACATGAACTAGAAACCTAACTTCATTTCAAACCTTCACTGTTACAGAACACAAATCAAATCCTGTGAGACAGTAAACCATAATTAAGTAAACAGAATAACATCTCTTGAAATAAGTAACAGACTACGCTAAATGCTACATAACGAAATTACTACCGGTAACGAAATATCAAGAGCCGAAGAATATTGAAAAAAAAAACGACCACCACCCTAACGGATAAAAATATATAAAAATATTCGAAAGAATAGTGCGGCTTGAATTACCATGAGTGGAGGGAGGGTGAAGAGAGGATGACCCAGGGCAGAGTACGTACGTGAAAGAAAATGAGAAAAATGCTTGTGGGTCGCCAGATGATTGCCACTGTGGGGGCGGGGGTTTAGGGACCTGGCTCCTCGTAGGTGGCTCTGACGTATTCGTCTTTCTTCAAGCGGAGAGGCTGCTATCAGAGGCCAGGAACACGAGTATTGATTCTGATGTAACTGTTAATATGAATTGTGTTCTAAATGTGAAATATTCCCTCACAGCACACCTCTTCTTCCTTCTTATCACTGAGAATGTTCAATGTCTCGTAGACCCCCTTGAGAATGACCAGTGTCTCGTAGATCCCTATGAATGACCAGTGTCTCGTAGACCCCCTGAGAATGACCAGTGTCTCGTAGATCCCTATGAATGACCAGTGTCTCGTAGACCCCCTGAGAATGACCAGTGTCTCGTAGACCCCCTGAGAATGACCAGTGTCTCGTAGACCCCCTGAGAATGACCAGTGTCTCGTAGACCCCCTGAGAATGACCAGTGTCTCGTAGATCCCTATGAATGACCAGTGTCTCGTAGACCCCCTGAGAATGACCAGTGTCTCGTAGACCCCCTGAGAATGACCAGTGTCTCGTAGACCCCCTGAGAATGCCCAGTGTCTCGTAGACCCCCTGAGAATACTCACCATCTCGTAAACCCACCGAGGATGCCCACAGCTCACCAAACCCTCCAAACTTCGTCCTAATTTCAGAATGAGGACCATCGTTTTCTCCTCTCTTTTATTAAGTATCGTTCAGTGTTGTGCTTGGGACTTACATCTCAATTAGTCTCGTCTGGCTGCACTACTCTCGTTTGCATCAACACATTCTTCACTTATACTACAATCTCTGTCACTCTAGCTGCGACCACCACTTCAAAAATAATGTATACCTACCTGGAGGATATTCCGGGGGTCAACGCCCCTGCGGCCCGGTCCATGACCAGGGGGGAAAAAATCTGGCACTCTGAGTAATATGAGTTTTTTATTTTAATGTTTTTTTTTTCAACGTTGTATGATTTTTTTTCCTAAAATTTTAGTATTTTTATCCATCTTTCGTTGTTTCTCTTTATGGTAAATTACGTTGATAAGGATACGACGTGATTTCTGTTTTTTATCGTTATTTTATTTCGTTATCTTGGGACAATTAACAAATTGGAAATAATGTATATATTGGATGTGTTATTATCTGATAAAGTTCTTGTGGAGACCATCGCCCCCGCGTCCCGGTCCGAGACCAAGAACCATGAAGGAACTCGAAGGTCGGTAAAGTTGATTATATGAAACAAAGAGAGAGAGAGAGAGAGAGAGAGAGAGAGAGAAACCAGAGTGCAAAACTTTTACTTGCTTCCAGTAGACGCGGTAGTACCTCCCTGGATGGTTGCTGCTTCCCAGCTTTCCACCAGAGTAAGTTGCACACAGAGGGTGTTCAAGATACACTTGCCTCTCACAGTTACCACACTAGTGAGAACGTTTCTCTCACGAGAATTTTCATCAGTCGTAATGTCTTGTAGGATACGCTATGGGTAAGAGTCTTTTCCACAGCTTGTCGGTATCGCCATAACATTTACTGCTACTGAGGTGTAACGTAACACAACTTAATGGAGTGTAACGTACTGCAGCTCTTCAACTCTACCCTCAGAGGTAACACACTTGTGGGGTCTAACACACATCACCTCCTCCACACTCTTGTCTCACACAATCTTCCCTTTAAAACAATTAGTAGTCGTCTCTACATTTCCCATTCACATTATCTTTATTGCTTATAACCTGATGTCATCCCCTCTCGAGTTAGCTGCCGCTGCATTAAAAGTAATCACCACAGCAATATAACCAGGAAATTATCCCAACGTTTTACTGTATGACTCTCACGAGTTAATCGTTTTTTTTTCCGTTTAAAATAATAATATAAACGCTTTTATTGACGTGCTGTTCCTCCCATGTTTTCCATTTAGAGATAAGTTACTGTGCGATCATGTCCCGTTGTTATTGCCGGGAGATGGAATTATATGCCTCGTTGATGCCATAAGTTGTGGTTAGGAGGACTATCCATCTATGTGTTGGAGACCTGGGTGTTTTCTAAGTGGATCCTATGTTACTATGACAGGAGGACTTTAGAAAGGTTTCTTCAGTGCCTCCCCAAAGCTCACTTGGTTACCTTATACTCCATGTACATGGGAGTCTATAAGAAAAACAGTTAACTTTACGATGCATATCGAGGTTATCTGCTAAAAGAGAGACACTGACAAAGCTGTTGGTAAGGCTGTGCCTTCCTGGACAAGAAGACATAGCCCCACGAAATCGTAATAACACGAACGGGTAAATCTTGTTAGAATCAGCTGGCCGAGTTAACGCACTGACCTGTGAGTTTGAGGACTGACTTGCCATGGATGCAAGCCTCATCCGTTTTATGATAAGAAGACGTAGTTTTTTGGCGTCAACACCGACGTCAAAACCTATAACATCCTTTTACTGCCTCCAGACGTTTCAGTGGCCGCTATGAAACGCTGATAACGTTAGTACCAACGTCAGGGATCACTAACGTCTCATTACCTCCACCTCGAGACTTGTCAGCGGCCGTCGTGGCCGCTAACAACGTTAGTACCAACGTCAGGACCACTAACAACTCATTACCTCCACCTCCAGACTTGTCAGTGGCCGTGGTGGCTGCCTGGGACGCTGACGACATCACTGAAGGAACCAACGCCAGGATAACTTACTCCATCGCCAAAAACGTGGTGTACGAGCCCACGGGAGAGGCCATCTTCTCCGTGGACCCAGACACTGGTCTCATCCGCACTGCCATCTGTTGTCTAGACCGAGAGACCACACCAGAGTACGAGATCCAGGTTGTGGCGGTGGATGGTGGTGGCCTCAAGGGTGAGTGTTGTGGCCTCCAGGGTTAGTGTTATGGCCTCCATTGTGAGTGTTGTGGCCTCAAGAGTGGGTGTTGTGGCCTCAAGAGTGAGTGTTGTGGCCTCAAGAGTGAGTGTTGTGACCTCAAGAGTGTGTTCTGCTGTGTTGTGTGGTAGTGTACTCTCTGTAATCACATAGTTGTAGCCACATAGTTGTAATTATCATAGAGTTTGTATCTCGGGTGTGTGTTTGTGTGGTTTACACTTACCTGTGTTCTGTGTGTGGTGACCTACAGGTACTGGTGTGGTGGTGATCCGTCTGGTGGACGTGAATGACAATTCTCCCAGACTGGAACGTTCACTGTGGGAGGTGGAGACGGAGGAGACCTGGGGCTCTGAACCTCCACACAACTCCACCATCCTCCACATCTCTGTCATCGACACCGACACATCAAACTACTTCTTCTACAGGGTGAGGCACTGCTAGGTGAGGTACTGCTGGGTGAGGCACTGCTAGGTGAGGTATTGCTGGGTGAGGCACTGCTAGGTGAGGTATTGCTGGGTGAGGCACTGCTAGGTGAGGTATTGCTGGGTGAGGCACTGTTAAGTGAATCACTTCTGCTTGGTGGGGCAGCAGATAGTGTAGATCTAGGCAGGTGAAGAAACGACAGATTTATGGCTGGTTAGATGATTTCACAGAGCAAAAAAAAAATGACGAGATTTGTAATGATATTTGTTTATATTTGTATAACTTTCTGACTTTTTGTAGCAGCTGAAGCTGAGGCCAGTGGATGGGGCTGGATCTCTCCTGCAGGTGATGTTGTGGTCACCTGACGGTGCTAATATGGTGTCTCTGCAGGTGGTGGAGGCCAGTGGATGGGGGCTGCGTCTCTCCTGCAGGTGATGTTGTGGTCACCTGACGGTGCTAAATGGTTTTTTAGTGGTGGAGGCCATTGGGGCTGGATCTCTCCTTCATGATTTTTGTGGTTCACTGAAGTGCTTAACATGGTGTCTCTGCAGGTGGTGGAGGCCAGTGGGTGGGGCTGGATCTCTCCTGCAGGTGATGTTGTGGTCACGTGACGGTGCTAACATGGTGTCTCTGCAGGTGGTGGAGGCCAGTGGGTGGGGCTGGATCTCTCCTGCAGGTGATGTTGTGGTCACTTGACGGTGCTAATATTGTGTGTCTGCAGGTGGTGGAGGCCAGTGGGTGGGGCTGGGTCTCTCCTGAAGGTGATGTTGTGGTCACTTGACGGTGCTAATATGGTGTGTCTGCAGGTGGTGGAGGCCAGTTTATGGGGGCTGGGTCTCTCCTGCAGGTGATGTTGTGGTCACCTGACGGTGCTAACATGGTGTCTCTGCAGGTGGTGGAGGCCAGTGGATGGGGCTGGATCTCTCCTGCAGGTGATGTTGTGGTCACCTGAACGGTGCTAACATGGTGTGTCTGCAGGTGGTGGAGGCCAGTGGATGGGGCTGGGAGCACTTCAGCATCAGGACGGTGGGATCAGAGGGACACATCTTCGCCACTCAGACTCTGGACTATGAAGATGAAACTCACCGTCGAGGCTTCAAGTTCATGGTGCAAGTGACTGACAAGGTGAGTCCAGGCTTCAAGTTCATGGTGCAAGTGACTGACAAGGTGAGTCCAGTCTTCAAGTTCATGGTGCAAGTGACTGACAAGGTGAGTCCAGGCTTCAAGTTCATGGTGCAGGTGACTGACAAGGTGAGTCCAGGCTTCAAGTTCATGGTGCAAGTGACTGACAAGGTGAGTCCAGGCTTCAAGTTCATGGTGCAGGTGACTGACAAGGTGAGAAATTCCATCGTTGTGACACTACAAGAGTGGCACTACTATAACCAGAGACAGTGCCGACTCAAGAGGAGCTGGATCTGCACTGTATATTTCTGACTACCGAACACTGCTAGTTTAACGTGCATCAAGGACGTGACGTTTTATTCGATGTGTTTCAAACATCCACTACTTACATTTCCTGTAATCGGCCAAGCAGCCAATTATAGCTGCCACATGTTTATTAGAAACATTTATTCGTTTTGAGGGGAAACTAGAATTCCGTTACACTTTCCCTTGGGAAGTGGAACAGAATTCTTCCTCCGTAAGCCATGCGTGTTGTAAGAGGCGACTAAAATGCCGGGAGCAAAGGGCTAGTAACCCCTTCTCCTGTATACATTACTAGATTTAAAAAGATAAACTTTTTTTTTTTAGGTTACCCTGCCTCGGTGGGATATGGCCGGTTGACAACACAAATATTTATTAGAAAACGTTTCGGTCCTTGATCAGTGAGAGAAATCACTTTACTCTCTCATAATTCTTCTTAGTATTGCATCTGCTGCATACATTGGTACCCTGTTGGACACAATGTAAATACTGGTGGTGGGAATATACTTTGGTGGCTTATCTTTGCGTTTCTTGCTCCTTGTGGCCTGGATGTTACTGCCACACAGAAAGTGGATTTCTCTCTTTGTCCCACTGGACACCTGTATGAACTCCGTCTTTGAAGGCGGTGGATGGAGACCTCTAAGTACATGGCATCGGCTCATGGGTCGAGGATCAAGGTTTTAACTGGTTGGAAGAAGACCGAGAAGAGTACGGGCGCTTTGGTGATTCTTCCTGGGGGTTGAGTCCAGCTACCGGCTCAGTCTTGTTTACCGCGGAACTCCTGGATCATTTTTGCTGCTCGACCTTCCTAGTCCTGTCGGGATTCTGTTGACTACTCTGTTATCGTAAGTTTTGCTTCTGTTGTGTCTTTAGTAAGTTGTGTGTGTGTTTGTGTGTGTGTGTGTGTGTGTGTGTGTGTGTGTGTGTGTACTCACCTATTTGTGGCTGCAAGGGTCGAGTCCTAGCTCCTGGCCCCGCCTCTTCACTGGTTGCTACTGGGTCCTCTCTCTCCCTGCTCCATGAGCTTTATCAAACCTCGTCTTAAAACTATGTATGGTTCCCGCCTCCACTACGTCACTTTCTAGGCTATTCCACTGCCTGACAACTCTATGGCTGAAGAAATACTTCCTAACATCCCTTTGACTCATCTGAGTCTTCAACTTCCAATTTTGACCTCTTGTTTCTGTGTCCCCTCCGTGGAACATCCTGTCTTTGTCCACCTTGTCTATTCTGCGCAGTATTGTATATGTCGTTATCATGTCTCCCCTGACCCTCCTGTCCTCCAGTGTCGTCAGGCCGATTTCCCTTAACCTTTCTTCATAGGACATTCCCCTTAGCTCTGGAACTAACCCTGCCGCAAACCTTTGCACTTTCTCTAATTTCTTGATTAAGTGCGGGTTCCAAACAGGTGCTGCATACTCCAGTATGGACCTGACGTACACGGTGTACAGTGTCTTGAACGATTCTTTACTAAGGTATCGAAACGCTGTTCTCAGGTTTGCCAGGCGCCCATATGCTGCAGCAGTTATCTGGTTGATGTGTGCCTCCGGAGACGTGCTCGGAGTGTGTGTGTGTGTGTGTGTGTGTGTGTGTGTGTGTGTGTGTGGTGTGTGTGTGTGGGTGGTGGTGTGTTTGTGTGTGTATGTGTGTGTGTGATTTTTAATATATAGAGCTCAGTGTTGGTGCCCCACCACTGGGGTTCCACCACTGCACCCTCACTACTGGCGCTCCATCACTGGTCACTGTTTCTTCCCCAGGGACGCGGGGGGTGGAGGGACGCGCGTCACATGGACGCAGCCTGGGTCACCGTCCGTCTGAAGGACGTTAACGACAACCCGCCCCAGTTCCACCGTCCTCACGCCCATGTTACTGTGAGGGAGGACGCCCACCCTGGCACCCTCCTGGCTGCCCTTCCCGCCCACGACCCTGACATGGTGAGTACTCGCACAGCATCACGCCCACGACCCTGATATAGTGAAGACACCCACGCCCACCCCGGTGTTCGTAGCTACAGCAGCGGAACTCCTACAGTTACTGATACTAATAAAAAAAATGACCCTGTTTACTCTTGTAATCTTTCATGTCGTTATCATGTCTCCTCATATCCATATCTGCTTTCCTTTCATTGTTCGCAAATTCACAATTCTTAACACTGGGAAACTCTTTGAACTTAAAGTTTATTATGGAAAAATTTCGACCCACACCACATGTAAATAAACCAATTTTTGTCATTGCGCAAGTTGTAATTCATTTTAGCTTTTACCAGCCATATAACAGAAAGCTACATTGAAATTTCCAATATAAAAAAATTAGTGATAGTTTTACTCCACTGTGTCAAAATCTGTTTTTAAAATCGACCTAATGTGGTCAGGTCACTTATCCTTCCCTCTCTGTCTCTTTCCATCTACTCTCAGTCGTTTTTACTGATCTATTCTGACCGTCCATCCATCCCTATTCTTGCAGTCTCTCTTTAGGAATAACAGTGCAAATAAAAAATAACTTCTGTTATTTTTAAGGGATGATTTGTTGTTTTTAAGGGATCTGTTGTTTTTAGGGGGTGATCTGTTTTTTTTAAGGGATGATCTGTTGTTTTTAGGGGGTGATCTGTTTTTTTAAGGGATGATCTGTTGTTTTTAGGGGGTGATCTGTTTTTTAAGGGATAATCTGTTGTTTTTAGGGGGTGATCTGTTGTTTTTAGGGGATGATCTGTTGTTTTTAAGGGATGATTTGTTGTTTTTAAGGGATGATCTGTTGTTTTTAGGGGTGATCTGTTGTTTTTAGGGGATGATCTGTTGTTTTTTAAGGGATGATCTGTTATTTTTAAGGGATGAGCTGTTATTTTTAAGAGACAATGTGTTATTTTTAAGGGATAATCTGTTGACTCACGAAATCGTAATGACACGCTTGCAAACAAACCATACCACGGGCGGGGATAGAACCCACGATCAGAGAGTCATAAAACTCGCAGACCGACGCGCTAGCCACTGGGCCAGCTGGGCCAGCTGGGCCAGCGGGTTGTATCCCCGCCCGTGGTATGATAATCTGTTGTCTGTAGTGACGTGTAAATCTTGCAGACTTCTACATAAATTATAAGCTACTATTTATATTCACTTTACACGTATATTTGCTTTCCTATGTTCCTTCAGAGCTCTTAATTCTTTAATGCGTTCTTTCTAATTTCTGAGTCATTTTCTGAGAACGGAGAGCCGGGGCGATGATCCCTGGAACTGACATAAAAAAAACGACATTCAAAGGATGTTTTTTCTCTCCTTCAGGGTGGAGAAGGTGTTGTGGACTACCACCTGGAGGGAGCCTGGGGAGCTCTCAGCGTCGACTCTGAAGGAGCAGTAACCTTAAGACGTGGACTGGACCGCGAGGCTCCTGACGGGGCTATAGGTGTGGCCAGGATCGTGGGCGTGGACCGTGGGCGGCCGCCCCTCACTGCCACTGCCACCCTCACCATCACTGTCACTGACGTCAACGACAGTCCACCAGTACTGCTGCCACCCACACTCTTCCATGTGACGGAAGGTGCCGCCCCCACACTCCTGGGTGCCCTTACTGCCACGGACCACGACGTGTGGGCACTGGGCCATGGCCCGCCCTTCAACCTCTCCCTGGCGCCCACCAACCCCGCCCACGTCCTCGCCCACATAGCACTCAAGTTCGACCCTCGTGAGTACATATAAAGACCTCTTAATATTTTGCAAATTATATGTGGATCAAGTCTGACCTTTAAGCTTCTCTCTCCCATGTCCAGGTTATTTGTGTATTGTTCCAGTCACGGTATTGTGGGTTTTTGGTATTTAATTCTCAACAATTCACCTCAACGTGCCAACAGTCCTGACAGAAATCAAAATGATTCTCGTGAATCATTTCTCCCTTTTGTTGGAAACGACGAAAACGACTTTTTCTCTTGAACGAGGTAATCCACAATCTTTTTTTTTTTTTGAGGGGGGGGGGGTCGACATTGACTGCGTACGAGTCCCCGGGCTATGTATGACTTCGAAGGATTTAGCGCTTTCCCGTGAATACAAATGCGCTAAAATGTTATTCTGCTAAATATTTCGACGTTTCAGAGTTTTTTGAAGCATTTTCTGACATACTTAATTTTTTTAACTAAAATATGTATATTATTACTCTTTTAATCAAAACTGTTGCAACAATTACATTATTATTATTATTATTATTATTATTATTATTATTATTATTATTATTATTATTATTATTATTATTATTTTTATTGTTTTTGTTGTTGTTGCTGTTGTTATTATTTTTATTTCCAAAATACAGGAAGTATTAATGATATTAAACATTGTTTTACTTCATGTTCCTTCTCTAGACCTTGACAGTGGTCGTGGAGGGGCGGAGGTGTGGACAGTGGGCGCCGTGGACAGGGAAGAGCACCGTCAGCTGCTGGTGGGCGTCCTGGTGGCTGACGCGGGGGGAGTGGCTGCCACCCACACTGTTACTGTCATTGTCGACGACATCAACGACAACCCCATGAAGCCTGGAGCCAAGACTGTCTACCTCTGGAAGACTCAGGTAGGTTCCATGAAGCCTGGAGCCAAGACTGTCTACCTCTGGAAGACTCAGGTAGGTTCCATGAAGCCTGGAGCTCCAAGACTGTCTACCTCTGGAAGACTCAGGTAGGTTCCGTGAAACCTGGAGCCAAGACTGTCTACCTCTGGAAGACTCAGGTAGGTTCCGTGAAACCTGGAGCCAAGACTGTCTACCTCTGGAAGACTCAGGTAGGTTCCATGAAGCCTGGAGCTCCAAGACTGTCTACCTCTGGAAGACTCAGGTAGGTTCCATGAAGCCTGGAGCCAAGACTGTTTACCTATGGAAGACTCAGTAGGTTCCATGAAACCTGGAGCCATGACTGTCTATCTCTAGAAGACGCAGGTAGGTTCCATGTAGCCTGTAACCAAGTCTATCTACCTCTGGAAGACTCATGTAGGTTCCATGAAGCCTGGACTTAACATTGCCTCCATCGGGAGGACTCAGGTAGGGATACTCCAACACTGGATGTTCTCCTCCTTCGGATAATTACATGTTCATGCACGATCCTTATGAATTTCATTAGCTTTTTATCTAGGGACTGTAAGATGAAAAAAAAACTGTCGAGTCTAACGCTGTCTTGAGAATGTTTGTTGGAGCGAGTGACTGGAAAGCAGTTATGGAATCTTCGTAAAAAAACAGTGCGCTGCTTATTCTTTCGTAATGCACGAGGTAGTTCTTGTAGGACTGCCATTAACTCAGCTTGTAGTAATGATCATTGGTGAAGGAGTCTCCATCATTTTTATTGCCCATCATTGTCAACTTCTCGCATCTCATTTCTTTTTCCAGCACTTGTCGAGTAGGTTGTAAATTTTTTCGTTGTTTCAACCACGGTTCTCAGTCAAACATGTTATCAGCACAGGTGTGTATATATTCACTGCTGCTCCTGAGAGCAGGGACTTGAACTTCTAGCCAGAGACTAGTTTGTTTAGTCCACTGGGGTACTTCATCCAAACTGAATAAGAAATCCCAAATTTCCTTTGAGATCTGAACATTTGTGGCAAGTACCCGGCCACAGGTACCTCTGTCATTCCACATCTTTCCTCTCGTTTCCTTCACAATTTCATAATTCAAAGGACCAGCCACGAGTATTACGACTCTACTACAGGAAAACAATCCTAAACTTCACTTGTTTTCCCCGTCTTGTGTAGGGCGGAGGGTCGGAGGCGCCTCTTGGTCGGGTGTTCGTGGACGACCCCGACGACTGGGACCTCCCCGACAAGAGCTTCCACTGGCGGGGCGCTCCACACCCTCTCTTCTCCCTCAACACTCACACTGGCGACCTCTTCGCCTCAAGCCAGGTGAAGGCCGGCAGGTAAGTGTTTATGGAACAGCAAGGACAGATAGATATGTGAGTGTTATGGTGGTAGATGTTATGTACCTGTAATGGTGGTGGATATTAGGTACATGTGAAGCTGAGATGTTATGCACTTATGATAGTAGTGATGTAATGCACTTATAATATATATATATATATATATATATCCAGCTCAGCTAAAACAATAGATATATATATATATATATATATATATATATATATATATATATATATATATATATATATATATATATACTTTTTATTTTACACTAGTTTCATCGACAGAGAGCTTCCGTGATTCCCCTTTTTCACGCTAAATTTAAAAATGCATCAAATATCTTATCAACTATCTGTGAATATTTTTGTAGACAGTGACTTCCAGCCAGCGACGCCATTAAGAAAGTTGTTTCAACCTCGGTGAAAGCACCGTGGGAAGCGATTAAGCTGAGCACAGTGTAACACCAGCGAGTTTCTGCATTGTTAATGGAGCTTACGAGTTGCAAGACTAAAGACTCTACTTCCCTACCTTGCACAACATATGCTGTCCGAGTTATTACCTTTGCCAGTAAGGACTTGGGTTTATTGGTCTGTATCTTAGCGAGAGTCTTGCAATCTGGGCACTTTAAAACCATTGATCTGCAATCTTTTCCCAAGAGTTGGTTCGTTTAACTTTGAGAATTAGCTTGAACGCTGCTGTGGTCGTCTGTGTTGTGCTGGTGTCTGACCGTCGACTCGTGATCCCGGGTGCAATAACTATGCTGTGTTGCTGACAGCTATACCCTAGTTATTGCAGGCATTCACTAAGAATATCTGGCCTCAGGCTAGGCTGCGAGGGGTAGAAGAGCCCTGAAAAACCGGTTATAGGTATATCACAGGTATATCCAGTTAGACGCACAAGAAAACATCTGAAAATTTCCCAACGGGAGTCATTCAGTTCAATGGTTTGTAATGGTAGGTGGTATGGGATTTCCGCATATACCCATTTTTTCAGTTTTCATTTCGTAAAGTCCTCATTAAGCTTTATTTTTTATTTTGCAGTTCCCTGCGTTCTACTTAAGTAGTTATCAAGTCTCGTTACGTCAACTTTCTGAAAAATTATCAGACTATTTTGTAACCAAAAAAAAAAGGCCCATCGTAGGCCTGCTAACAAGGAAAATGTACTGGAACAAAAATTTGCTTCGTATTAATTTATGCTGAACAATTGTTTGGATTACACAATACAAAGGAATGGAGTCAGCAACCAGGAGCACCCCAGACCATTGTGGTCCTAGTCCTGACCACTTTGATAAGACTTATCTTAAACTGGTTATACCCAGGAGGTCGGTCCCAGACCCATCCTACCTTTCTACACTGGTCTAACCTACTTAGAGAATAATCTAAATTGTTACCAGAGTGCAAGTGTATGGATACACACTACCACTCCATTCTCCAGTTCGTTCCACTCCCAGACTATTACTCCAGAACTGAAGAAACACTTAAAAACATCCCTGTGATTCGTATGTGTTTTCAACTTCCAGCTGAACCTTCGTGGTCCCTGATTGCTATCAAACCGTCCGTTCCGCGCCAAATTATCAATTTCCATTTTCAAAATAGCGTTTTTCCGTAACTTGCTTTAGTGACCATATCTGATACGTCTTTTTATGTTTCTTGTTTAAGCTGTGTAAGTAAAGAATTAGACACATGTGCAGCCTCTGGGTGCCTTTATTATAGACGTCCTTGAATCTGTATTGATAAAGCCACTGGAGGGCGAAACGTCTACAATAAGAATGTTTGGTTAGGCTGCGAGGGGTAGAAGAGCTCTAAAAAATGGTCACAGGTATATCACAGGTATGTCGAGTTAGGCACACCAGGAAAACCTCTGAAAATCGTCCCAAAACACTATTGACTTTGGGTTGTAGGTGTCAGTTTTGATATAATTGGGGAAAGAAGTTATACTGATTTTCCTGCTTTTGATCTGTGAATGCTTCGCTCGATCGACTTCAAATCTTCAACACCGATAATCTGAGAAGACAACTGAGGTATTCTGGAACTGTATATGCGATATCCAGAATGGATTTCTTGCCGTGTAGTTGCTAATTTGGCTTTTCTTATTGACAACATTACGGTCTTTCCTTGCGATGACTTGGAAACTCATCTGGATGGCTGAGCACCCTTCGCGGATCGCGCAGCGACCGAAACCTCTAGTTAATGATCGAAGTCGGGGAGAGAAGTGTCGTCGTAAGTTCCTTCCTCCTGTGTGCGCCCAGCTACCAAAACCTCTAGTTAATGGTTGAAGTCGGACAGAAGCGTTGTCATAAGTTCCCTCCTCCTATGTGCGAGTTATTCCTATATCTAGTTTCATTTTTGTAAGGGATCTGTGTGGAGTAAACTAGGCTTTCTCAATCGCTGTTGCTGCTGCTGCCTAGGGCGCCGGCTTGGCTCTCTGCCAGAGTTTTGACTTCTATTACAGAGCGGCGAAGTTTTGAGAAAATTAGTGATCTTCACTGGAGAGTTGAAGACCGTTCCTCGTTGGTGAACGTCGTTGGGTGAACGCTGGTAGTGTTGACTGCCTGGTAAACTGGTGTGTTGGCAGCCAACACTGAGGAGGTGTTGGTACCCTAGCAGTGTTGTCATTGTGAGGAGAGACATTGCGAGAAAATGATGTTATTGCGTGCTAAAGTAACTAGCAGACACACGCACACAGTGTTAGTGTAAACACACACACACACAAACACACACACGCTAATGTAATGTACTTCTAGATTCGTAGAGGTCAAAACAACGCCTGGAGTGGAACGTATGTACGGAATGCATGAGTTGTGGCTAATGGGGCGTGAACCCCATGGAGACTACACGAAGGTCATTAAGACTACACAGGTAGCCTTTTCACCGCCAGACAAAAATACTTTAATCCCTAAAAATAGGGAGTAAACTACCAGCGTATATACACAGAGAAATACACTTCTCGGTGTATATATCCTGCGAGGCACTAATGTATTTCCCTTGAAGGCTTCGCGAAAATAAAATATTTAGACAGTAAAGAGAAAGATATTTTAAATATTTGTGTATTGCTTTAATAAAAGATTAATCTTTCAATGGGGTATTTATAATTTTAAATAATTTCTCGTCTGTCGAATTTAGAAAAAAATGTTTTTTGAGCAGAATCGCAAAATTCAGGAATGTCTAGAAATATTAAATACGTGTTACTCAAAATGAAATTTTATAAGAGGCTGGAAGAGGAGGAGGAAGAGAAAGAAGAGAAGGAAGAAGAAGAAGAGAAGGAAGAGGAGAAGGAAAAGAAAGAAGAGGAAGAAGAGAAGGAGGAGGAGGAGGCCTCAGTAAACAAAAAAAATTTAAACACAGTCTAGCAGGCCAAGTCAGTAGACTCGACCCCCGGCAAGCATACCTGGACGAGTACATCCTATTTTCTTTTAATTAAACAAGCGTTAGACCTGTATGGGTCACACAGCCGTAGCTGCTAGAAGATGGAAGATCCTTGATGCTGAAGGCTCTTGATCCAAGGGGTTAGAACTATTGCCCACTGGGATCAAACCTGCTTCACACCGACTGTGGAAGTGATGCTTCATCCCGTTGTGGCAGACGGGACAGTGACATACGGGACAGTGACAGACGGGACAGTGACAGACGGGACAGTGACAGACGGGACAGTGACAGACGGGACATTGACACACGGGACAGTGACAGACCCCCACACCAGGACAGTGACTAAGGGGACCACACAAACCAGGACAGTGACTAAGGGGGACCACACACACCAGGACAGTGACGTGGGTACAAGGGTTAGACAGTTTAAAAATGGGATATTAATGAGGGTGGCTGTGTGCTAAGTGATCTCTGATTAATTGTGCCAGAGAATCATTTGACGCCGAGGATAAATTAAGCAGCTTGAGCGAGGCTTCTCTCTCTCGTTACTGGATAGAGAGAGAGAGAGAGAGAGAGAGAGAGAAGAGAGAAGAGAGAGAGAGAGAGAGAGAGAGAGAGAGAGAGAGAGGAGAGAAGAGAGAATAGAGGGAGTGGGGAGTGACTGTGTATGTGTGTGTGTGTGTGCAAAACTCGCAGTCTGAAATGCTGACTAGACTGATACTGTCTCCAGTAACCATCCTTCTGTCTCGGGGTCCCAGTGTCTGAACTACCCAAGGTGAATATGAGATCCAGCCTTGCTGGTTCATCCTCTCTGTCCATGGTAGTGCCCCTATCATGTTGATGCACGAGGTTTTCCAGTACCACCTCCATCATCCATCCTTCTGGCTCCAGGAACCATCCTTCTGTCTCTAGAAACCATCCTTCTGTCTCCGGTAACCATCCTTCTGTCACTAAACATTTGGAAAATCATTATTATTGCCGTTTTGAGCTCTGCCGTCTGCCACTTAATTAGAGCAGAGTTGCTGGTGCCATTCACTTCCTCTCATGTATTGGCTGCTTCGTGGTCTATAATCTTGCAACCTTCAGGCTAATTAGTCGAGAATCTGGTTAATAAGTCGGGTTTAAGTTGCTCCTGTTGTGTCTTGCAAGGTCCTGGTTGTCTTGCAAGGCCCTGGATGTCATGCAAGGTCCTGGATGTCTTGTAAGGTCCTGGTTGTCTTGCAAGGTCCTGGATGTCATGCAAGGTCTTGGTTATCTTGCAAGGTCCTGGATGTCTTGTAAGGTCCTGGTTGTCTTGCAAGGTCCTGGATGTCATGCAAGGTCTTGGTTATCTTGCAAGGTCCTGGTTGTCTTGTAAGGTGCTGCAGTAACGTTGAATATAGTTACTACTGATATTTGAGTTCCATGTTGTGAAGGGAGCTGAGAACCATGGTAATAACCCACACTGTGAGGCTCTCATGGGTTATCAGTCGTCCGGGATGACAATACAAGGAGGGTTCTCTCAGCACCATGACACTAACTGTGCCCTCCGTTTATACTCGCCCCTTGACACCACAGGTACGACCTACAGTTCAGTGTGGACGACCTGCTGTGGGGTCAGAAGGACGTGGAAGCCAACGTGACTGTGGCTGTGAGGGTGTTGACCCCAGACGCCCTAGCCCACGCTGCCCCCATCATCCTCACGCCCACCACCCCCGCCCACCTCACCCAAGGATGGACACCACAGGTCAGTAGATCTAGTTATTTACGTAGTTGTTAGGTAAAAAAACGAAATACCTAATTTGTTATTTTGGTAAATCTAAAGAAAAACGTTTAGATATTTTTCTTCTGGGAATATTTGTGAGAGATAATTATGAAAAAGAGATTTTATAATTATCTTTTTGGGGAGCGAGAGAGAATAAGTGAATTTTTTTAATATTCAATAGCAAGGAGGGGGTGGCCTGGGACGGGTGGTGGAGGGCGTGTTGATGGCGGTGGGGGGCGAGGCCCCCCACACCGTGGAAGTGGTGAGCGTGTACGCCCACTCGGACCGCCCACACCCTCACTACGCCCACACACAGCACCCATCTCACCCCTCGGGGTTCTCAAGCGCCAGCTCCCGGCCACTGCCCCACGCCACCCACGTCTGGTCAGCACACTGGAGGAGTGCCAGTGGGCAGGTCGCTGCCTCCACCACCACCTCCGCCTGTGTGTGGGTCAGCGTCAAGGAAGCAGCAGGGACCTTCATGGACCCCGTCAAGCTGCAGGGTCTGCTGGCACTACACTCGGCACAGGTCAGTGCCTTTGGCACTGCTACACAGCCTTTTTCCATTATTTCTCGCAATAGATGAAAAAAATGTCCCAAAATACACACAAATATTAGGTTGAATGCTTATATGAATAAATTACTTAATTATTAAATTTCCTGCAAAAAAAGGCCTTCAAATTGTAATCGTAAACACAGTAAATGCACTTAAAGAAATACAGAACAAATCTGTTACGCTAGAATAGAGAAAAGTTTTTTAAAAAGGTTGGATCTCGCTGCGTGTCCACAGATAGAAGCGACGACCAACCTGACGGTGATGATAGAATCCCCGAAGTCTGGATCCAGCGGAAGTGACCTCTCTGACGAACCTGCCCTCCACTCCCTCCACCAGGCTGGTCCTCCTGACCCCTCCTCCGCTGCCTCCCGGGCCTCCACCACCCTCCCACTACAGGTAATGTGGAGGGAAGTCGTCCCGGGACTGTAGTGGAGCACACAGTCCTCCTGTGCAGATACTGTAGTCTCTGTGTGAGCTGTAAAGTCTGACTGCCCTCTCATCTCTGGCTTCTGGCAAGGAAGTCTACGAGAACAAATAGGAAGCTCAGACGGAGGATCGAGCCTCCACCATGTCTTGCATGCGCTTGGCTTGAATTATTGTTATTATTATTCTAACTTCTGACTCCCTCCTGTGTTCTCTCTAGATTTTATAATGGTCTACTACGGGCCGAAATGCCTAAGTTATTATCTCCATTTTGAGAATTAATTATTTATTTATCTTCTTACGGTATTGTTATCTTTGTTTACAAGGCTAAGACATGGCTTAATTTCAGCATGATTTAAATAAATGAAGGTACGCTTGTTAAAGATAATCATAATTAATAATCATAATTAATAATCATAATTAAAAATCACACTTGCGTATGATGGTGTTAGTATTAGCTTGTGTCTTTCCAGTCAGGCAGTAATAAAGAAACTGTATAGCCCTTGTGGTTTAGCGCTTCTTTTTTTGATTATAATAATAATATAATTGAGTTTTATATACGAACAACGGAACGTGATATATTTAACCGCAGACACTCGTAATATATCCACTCACAGACACTCGGGACCAGGCGTTATGAACTCTTGAGTACTCTACCTGAGTAAACACACTCTTATATATCTGTCACAATGACGCATCCAGATACGACATTCCAGCTTCTGATTTCCAGGTGGTAGACACGAACTCCACCTCGCTGGTCACCCCGCTGCTCTCCCGAGGTCACGACTGTCATGTCTATGAACCTGAGACTTGCATCCCCAGCACCTGCCTCAACGGTGGCCGTTGTCTGGGCCACCACACCGGTAACAGGTGAATTTTCAACGGCAGGAGAGAGAGAGAAATTTATAAAGGGGATTTCCAGATATTGTATCATGGAGACGATGTATGTTTTTTTTTTTCAGTTCTGTTAAAATGATGTAGATTTATTATTTTTGAAGAAGGGAGTGTGTGAAGATTTTTTTTAAAATGGGGCTGGTGGTTATAATTTTTTTTTTACAGCTGATTTTACAGGGTGTGTTTACAACAGGTGTGTGTGTCCCGGGGGGTCGTGGGGGGCGCGGTGTAAGGTGTTGGCCAGGACCTTCAGGGGTGATGGGTGGGCATGGGTCCGCCCACTGCCGCCCTGCTTCCCCACCACCATATCCCTGAGACTCCTCACACGCCGCCCACACGCCCTCCTCCTCTACTCTGGCCCCCTGGCGCCCATCCCGCGACGCCCGGATGACCCGCCCACGCCCATGCTGGCTCTGCAGGTGTGGCGTGGGCGGCCTCAGCTGCTGCTGGAGGGAGGTGCAGAGGCGCTCAAACTGGAGGTCAACAGCACAGTCAACGATGGTGACTGGCACACCATCCACCTCCACCTCCACTCTCACGTAAGCAAACTTTCTCAGCTAACACAGTCACACAGTCAATCACTCTGACTGCCACACAACAAGTCGTCTCCATTCACGTGAGATCTTCCTTCAGTCACACTCTCACAAACGAACTGCAGTATTCTTCGCCTTCAGTCATTGCCGGTGACTGGTAAACCATAAAACCTCTCCACTCAAGTCTCTTTCACAGTCAGTAACAGTAGCTTGCAAAATTTCATCCTCCACTCTCATAAAAGGATAACATAATGATCTTGTTGCGGATTTTTTTATGAGGCCTCCGGGGAAGGGGGTTAGCCACCCGAAACGCAAGAAAGTCAGCGTCATCGAGGACCTTTCTTTCAATAGATTAGGGTGATAATCTAGTACTACCCCATTAAATGCCACATCGTCCTAACACCCAGGTACCTATTTGCTGCTAGGTGAACAGGACAACAGGTGTAAGGAAACGTGTCGAAATGTTTCCACCCGCCGGGAATCGAACCCGGGCCCTCCGTGTGTGAAGCGGGAGCTTTAGCCACCAGACCACCGGGCCACCGCATACGTCACAGTCAAGCTGCGCATCGAATGTTGCAGATTTTTGTTTTATGAGGGCTGTTCTCGAAATTTGGGACGGCTGAAGGGGTAATAACTTACGCTCGAATGCCATGAATGTACTGCGACCATTTCTTTCAGAGTGAAGATTTACCGTGAATGATAACACAGCGTATGTATCCCATTAAAATTAGTAAGGTCTCTGGTCCTATTTTCCAGCATTTGAGTTTCGCATTAACTGGGCATTTTGCGATAGCCATTTTTTTTTGTCCTTAAAGAGCTTTATAAAATGCGCTGTTATTGAATTCAGTTTTATCTGGGATGTAAGTATTAATTCATGGCCAGAGTCCTGCTAATACAACCAGTAACTTTAGCTGAGCGGAAATTTAAATTTTCATCGCGAATTTAAATATCCCTTTAAAGTGATTGGCGTAACACAAGTGTCTATCTAACACTTATAACTAACTAATAATTACTAATAATTACTAATAACTAATAAATAATTACGGTAATACAGGTGTTGACCAACATTTAGAGGATTACAGAACAAACATGCAATACTGTGATTGATGTGCGGGTTATTTGTGTTCAGAGGCTTACCTAACACAGGGTTTAAACACACACTGGTTTAGTCACAATATAGTAGCCAAATACCGTTTTATTTGCGTTTTATTCACATGTACCCGTTTATGGCAAGTGAGGTCTACCCTTGTGATGATTTCGATTCAGGAATTGGAGGTAACTTTCTTGGTGTCAAACCTGGTTTCGTGCCATTTTTCAGGGTGCTGCAATGATGGTTGACTTGTGTGGTCACAGCCCCGGGGAGGACAGTGACATTCACGACGACAGTGGCACTCACGACGACAGTGGCACTCAAAAAGACACCAAAACTCAATACGACCAGGGCTCTCAGGACGACAATGACCCTCGGGACGACTCTCATTGCGTAGCTCAGGGCTCGTGGACCCACTTACGAGACGTGGGAGCTTGGGTGGGTTCCTCACCTTTGCAAGTGGGTGGGCTGGCCCACACGCCCCCCAGCCCAACCCACCATGGGTGGAGAGAGGCGCCCACACCACGCCCTCTAGATGGCTGTATCTCACATCTCACACTCAACAGTCAGGTGAGGTTATTACCAGTGAAGCTGCGACTTGAGACAGTGTGTTGTTGCTGAGGAAGGTGCTGCAGGAGGAGACAATGCTGACTCTCACGTAGTCTTATTCCAGCTGGTGGACCTGGGAGAGCCGCCCTACAGCAGGAACACCGCCCCGGGCTGCCACCCACAGGAAAAGGCGTGTGTGGGTGGCTGTGGGCACCGCGGGCGGTGCGTGGGCGGCCTGGGACACCCGGAGTGTGAGTGTGACCCAGGGTGGGCGGGTCCAGGGTGCAACACTCCCACCATCCCCGCCACTTTCGGGTCTTCGTCTTTCGTGAAGTTTGCGTTGTCTTTCACGCCGGCGCCGCAGGTGATGTCAGTGCAGCTGCGCCTGAGGACGCGAGGTCTTCGTCAGGGCCTTCTGCTGCACATGGCGTCTCCCAGACAGTCTGCGGCTTTCACAATACACGTACGTCTCTCTTCACGCGTTTTCCCAGGTTTATGTAAATCTTTTATCGTGATGCTCTTGATCCTGTGTTTGTGAGCTACTGTTGTCCTCCACACAGCTGCGAGGAGGTGTGGTGTGTGCCACAGTGTCAGGGGCGGGGTGGGCGGCACGGGCGGCCTGCGTGGAGGGGCGGCCGGTGGGTGACGGTGCCTGGCACACCGTCAGGGCGGAGCGTCACGGTGCCAACATGGTAGTGAGCGTTGACGACGGTGACGGATGGCGACGTAACGAGTCACTAGTGTCACTGAGACAGTCTGACGCTGTCGGAGGTGGACAGGAGCCTCTCACTCCCATTGACTTGGGAGACGGAGTGAGCGTGGGCGGCCTGCCAGAACTGGTGGGCGTGACAGTGGTCAGCGTCCTCGATGATCTCAAAAACAGTAAGTTGCCACACCTTTGAGAGAACAAAGTTGATCCTAGACCTGTCTAAGACCTACTTTTACCGGGAAGTAATGTCCCCCCCCCCCTCATACACACCCTAACCTGAGCCTCACTATCCTCATAAAAACTCTTTACAGCATTTAGTAACTTACCACCTATTCCATATACAGTGGACCCCCGCATAACGATCACCTCCGAATGCGACCAATTATGTAAGTGTATTTATGTAAGTGCGTTTGTACGTGTATGTTGGGCTGAAATGGACTAATCTACTTTCACAATATTCCTATGGACATTCGGTTCAGTACTGGCACCTGTAACATACTTCTGGAGTGAAAAAATATCGTTAACCGGGGGTTCACTGTACTTGTAACATCTGCCACATTGCTCCTCTATCCACTCTATCATATGCCTTTTCTAAATCCATAAATGCAATAAAAACTTCCCTACCTTTATTTATATACTGTTCACATTATGTTTCAATGTAAACACTGATCTATATATTATAACATGAATCATTCTCACACCAAATGTTAAAAACACAACGTTTCTTATATTTCCTGTGCCACGTCGTTGCCAGACATATCGCTGCCAGATTTTGTATTATGCTTATTTTTAAATTATTTAAACTTTTTGTAAATTAACCTAACTCATCCTAGAGCCTTTCGTATCCTATAAATTCATATCTTCTGATTTAAAATTAAGGCAAGAGTATATTAGGAAAATTTAGGTGTTGAGAAACTAACGGATTTGTATTCAGAGAGAAACAGCAGAGGTCACGATGACCTTGGTGGATGGAAGGTCAGAGAGTGTCCAGGAGGTGATGAGTTTGGGCCCCTTCAAAGTTATCATCTTCGTGAAAGTCCCTCTAGTTCCTTGAGTAAAGTTCTTTATTAACAGTCACCTCCTTGAAGGGCACAAATAATGTTGTGGGAGACCCACAGCCTCCACACGGAAGTCTGGAAGCAGAGCTGCAGACTTCCGTCTAGATTTTACAACATTGACAGTGAATGTAGAGTAGCGGGGATGATATATGGGATCTGAGGTGATCACCAAGAGGTTCAGAGATGTATAGAAGAAATTGCTGACATTGTGACGGGGCTTTTAAGTTTAATATAGCTAACTAGTTTCTTAAGTGTCTCACTGTTGGAAATTGGCAACCTCTTTGAGCGATTTTCTTCTCTCTCTCTCTCTCCCACTTAGGTTCACTTAAGTCTCTGTATCTCAAAGTTTTGGCCCTTTTCCTGAGATTAGCATAAGTTAAATGGAAGCTTGAAAGAGGAACTTCAGGCTTCCATTTAAATAAATTGTAAACATTAGCGTCAATTTGTTTATGGAATGTTTAATGTTCAGCTACTGGAATTGTCTGTGGTGTCAGGTTGTTTGGACGACGTGCGCGTGTCGGGTCGCCAGCTACCGTTGCCACCTGCACTGAATGGCAGCAGGTGGAGTCAGGTGACCAGCTGGCAGGGTCTGGAGCCAGGCTGCTCCGCCCCTGACGCCTGCCTCAACACCACCTGTGACGCCCCGCTCTCCTGCGTCTCCACCTGGGGCAGTGCCAGCTGCAGGTGAGTCTTGTCTTGCATCACCACCTGCAGGCAGAGCATAACAGGAAAGGTATTGCAGTGGATTGAAAAATACGTGGAGCGAGACAGTGATGATCCGGAAAAAGCATCGAAACTGACAGATGTAACAGGAGGGATCCCACAAGAACCACTTTTGGGTCCTTAATTGTTTTCTTTAGCGCACGAAGCTACACATAGGTAGTTCTATGTATCAGTGTTTACAGCTGATGTGAAGGCGATGAGAACAGAAGCCGGGAGAACCAGACTAGATTTTACAGACTGCATGATTGGTCAGACATGGGCCACCGAAACTGACCCACATTAAATTCACAGTTATAACAGTTAAGGAAGAGATTTAACCAAGAAATGAAGTATAGGCTCCAGTGAGAGGCTTTAAGCCTCAATTAAAAAATTAAATTAGATAGAGCAGCAAGGAGCATTGTGTCAACTGCGCAGATCAGTTAATTTCTTATAAGATTATGCAACATTATGCAACTGAAGAATCTAAGATTTCCTTTTAAGACCTTCATTAAGTCACGATTCTGTGTAAGATTATATGTCGAGCTAAACATTGTTCATAGGAGGGGTTGTAGAGAGGGTGCTCTTGACCCGTAGGGATCAGACACCTCACGGAAAATAGTTGGCAGTCAGGTTCAATCCAAGGAAGGGGAGGCGAATTCTAATTCCTTGGATCAAGACGCCCCTTCCCCTCACGGGCATCAAGGCACCTCCTTTGATGGGTCAAATATGTTAAGACACTAGAAAGGTTCGAGAGGCCTTCCACTGGTGCACTAGTCCACCATTTAAAGATTCATTATTTTTTTTATTATTACGCTCGTCTAGGCCGTGAGGCATGAAGCTGCGTTCTTGTACAGGTGGTTTACCTGGAGTTTACCTGGAGATGGTTTCGGGGGTCAACGCCCCCGCGGCTCGGTCTCAGGCCAGGCCTCATGGTGGATCAGGGCTGATCAACCACGCTGTTACTGCTGGCCACACGCAAGCTGACGTACGAACCACAGACCGGTTGGTCAGGTACTGACTTTAGATGCCTCTCCAGTGTGTGGAGTATGAAACTGTACTTCTACAGGTGTGGGGTATGGGGCTGTGTTCTTCCACAGGTGTGGGGCACGAAGCTGTGTTTCTCTACAGGTGTGGGACATAATGCAGTGCCTCTGCAGGTGTAGGGCACAAAGCAGTGTACTTTTACAGGTGTGACAGTGCTATGTTGCTCTTCAGGTGTAATATAATGGTTGTCCTCTACAGGTGTGGGAGAGGACAGCAGGTGGTGGGGGGAGTGTGTGAGGACCTGGACGAGTGTGTGTGGCAGCCCTGTCTCCACGGAGGCTCCTGCTACAACCTGCGTCCAGGATTCCAGTGTGTGTGTGGCCCTGGCCATGCTGGGGATCACTGCCAGTGGACCCACCCGGCCACCCCGGGCCACCCACTCACAGCTACCGTGGCCATCGCAGCGCTGACACTCTCTCTACTACTCCTGGGTCAGTAGTCTTTTGTGCACTTTCACGTTAATACTTATTTACCAAAATTTGCATTTCACATGTAGCATAAAAACTGGTAAAAACTTGTATAAACACAATTTTTCACTGTGGCAGTGGTGATGGGTGTAGTCATCTCAGTGAGGTTACGAAGACAGTGGCTGGTGAGAGGTATCGTGGGTCACAGAGAGGTGCAGGAGGCCACAGTCTTAGAGGTGATGGAGACTGGACGCAAGAATCACCAAGGAGATGCTCCTCACAAAGCGTTTCTGGAGCGTCTTCAAATCAGACTCCCACAGACTCGCTCCACGCCGCTCGGGAAAGGTGAAGGTTTTGTATAAACTACGATTTATTCTAATTTTTTTCTCCTTTTTATTTTTCAGTGTTGAATAATCCTCATGGGACTATTGCTTTTCTGTATGATAGTAATTTAAAACTTTAGTTATGCATACATGAGTAGATTAATGATTCGGATATTACCTACTAAGGACTTTGGTCTATGTATGTGATCTTTAGAGGAAAGAGTACCAGCGAGTGAGAGCAGTGAGTACACAGCCGGAGTGCCGATCCGTACTGGCGCTCCCGTGCCAAAAGTTGTGGACGTACCGACGGTCGTGGGCGTGCCGGCGGGCGTGGGAACCGTGGCAGGCTCAGGGGTAGTGAGCCCTGACCCACTTCCAGCCAAGGACGACCTCAGAGCCTATGCCTACGAGGGAGACGGGTCGTCTGCCGGGTCGCTGTCTTCGGCGTTATCTGGTGCGTGGAAACAAAGTTCGTAGGAGTCCCGGTCAGTTCGGGAAAGTATAATTCATGGTTTTACGATTAGAAAATCTGGTCCGCAGCTATAAAGTCTCTATGTCCAGCTCCTGGTCACAAGAATCGAAAGTCAGTTTTATAAACGAATAATTCCAAAGTAATCTCTGGCTGAAAGAATAATTGTACCAGTAAGCAGATGACATATACATTTTACATATCTTTATGTATATCTTCCTCGAAGCAAATCATCTTCAATAAAAGACGTAGGTGATGCTATCTTTCTCAGTATTTGATATCTCTGTTTATTGACGCTGTTCGTTTTCTACTCTGATTTGTGTACCAAACCCCACATGCCAAATATCAGAAAATGAACATTTATTTCAGTTTTTCTCATAGCTCTGAGCTCCTCACAGCTACAGAAAGCGATCTTCGTATTTTATATCATTATCTAATAATGTTTCTTAATATCACTTCAGGTCTTCGGGAGGAGCAACCTGAAGAAGGAAGTATAAAACCCATCGTTCCAGAGTTCTTGGAGGTGATGGACTTACTCAAAAATTTACCAGAGGCATCCATGTCTCCTCTTCTGACAAAACGGGAGAATCAGGTCTCCAGAAAAACAGAGCAACATACGAGTAAAAGCAGAGGCCAGGCGCTGACTTCTTTGCCAACAAAAGGCGCAATTTACTCCATGACCAAAACAAGAGGTTCCTCCCCCGTACTTACGAAGACAACTACAACAGTTTCTCCGAGACGTAGTTCAGTATCCGTCGGAGATGAAGAACAGAAGACAGTTTGTTGAGGCGAACCAAAACATTCAATGCATTTACGGTGTACTGAAGTGTAATCCCGAAGTTATTTACCAGTTTGGTCCGAGAACCTGCCTCGAATATTAGTCAAAAATGTCTCAACACAGTGCGCGGAGTTATCCACTTTTTCTAAGAGTAACTAGAATTTATAAAGTTATTATTGTATTAAGTGTGATAGATGGCAGAGGAAAGTATTATCGTACGTTCTATAATACGGAATGGTAAGATCTCTGGGAAATATATCTGCGAATATTGACTTCGGAGACAATGTCGACAATCGTGTAAAACATTTGCCTCAAATGGCCGTACGTACAGTCACATTCGCCCCTTGTAGTGGCGACCACTGTGGTGTCTTGAACCATGTTAGATTTAGAGGATTATTGACGTCTAAACAAGAGAGTTGAAAAATAGTTAGAAAACTGAGGCTGTGACTTTTATTTTGTCATCTTTACCTTTCATGTGTTAATCTTTGTTACAAGAAACAGCGGCATTATATCTAAATATTTTATACGTTTATATAACACCTGTATTATACTCGCTTAACCAAAACCAGATGTTTTATTCCCCTATGATGTCTGGATTACTCAACAATCAGCTGTGTAATGGGCACAGTGGATATGGACGAAGTGACCACTCTTGTGGGTCACTGTGACCAGCCTCGTTAATTGCAGAAGAGAAACGGGTTAGTTTTGGAAAAACCATAAAAATATATCAAAGAATTCCAGAGACAGTCTATGGAACAGGAAAACGAAGGAATTTGAATTATTAAATTATTCAACGGAGGTTTAATCGTTGAAGGAAGATGAAGGAGCCCGCTAGGATGGCGAAGGACTCTCTATTCAAGGAACTGACGCTATCCTCTCCCTCTTCACATGAAACCTGGTTACCTCCTATTCCCTGCATTATCTTGTGTCTTATTCTCCTCTAGGAGAACCCTCGTCGTGGAGAAAGGGCTCTTGATTCGAGGAATGGGCCCAATTGTCCTGTTTCTCAGATCAGTTCTAGATACTCCCTTCCCTGACTAATCCTCTCCGTCTTTCCATTTGACCTCATTTATCTAGGAATTCACCCTTATTAGACAGCTCCTGGACAAGAGCAAAGGGAATCGCTGCCTATCATGTTCTAATGCAGTGTCTTTAGTAGTGGTGTGGTGTGCTCTTCACTCCACCCGATTGCGAATCTGATTATCTGGGGACGTGCTAAGCGGCGTTGGACGTTGGAAATACCGCTAAAGAGGCTGCCTGCGGATTCTGGAGAGGCAGCCGAGGAGGTAAACATCCTGGTGTTTCTAGTCGCCCGGTGTTATTATCGTCTGAAAGATGGTATTGGGTGGTATTGCTAAGCCTATCTCAACCACTTTTAGAGTCGCCATCCTGGTGTCGGTGGGTGCAACACTGGGTATAGTAATAACAGTAGTAATCGTCACTGCAGCATGATACAGTGTACAGAAATGGGTGACATTTAGGTACGTATGCAGACAGCGCCTTGGTTACTGAAGGAGACAGTAAGTTCAGGGAGTGTCACTACTGCCTGCCGTGATGGGTGATTGTGGTTCAAGGTAGGTACCTGGTTTCTCTTTCGTTTGTCCACGGAGTTGCACCTAATTTTTTCTCTGAGCCTCTCGCTTATTCTTCATGGGCCCTAATTAACAAGGGCACCCTAAATGAGCAGTAGCACACCCACGGACCCTCCTTGGACCGTAGAATAGTGTGTAGATCGATCAGCTTCCCATATACAGATAATGCGAATGGACAGCAATCTGGAGACCAAAACTAGACTGAATATTTAAGTTGCGGTACAAGAAGCGAATTAGTCATTATGGTTATCTGCTCTCTTTCTCTCTCTCTCTCTCTCCTCTCTCTCTCTCTCCTCTCTCTCTCTCTCTCTCTCTCTCTCTCTCTCAACAGAAACACAGAGAAAGAGATAGCAAGCAAGTCACGCTTTCACACCCCAGTCATGCTACATAACACACATACGTATATAGACAATATTCACATATACTAGACAGTCCTCGATGACGCACTGTCTTTCTTAGGTTACCCTGGGAGGTTAACCCTTCAGGTTAAAAATCCGAACCAAATCGTATCTTATCTTATTGAGTGACATTGTTTAAGAACTCACATAAATTATACTACCGAAGTTCCAGTCTTGTATTGTTTTCAGAGAAGCTTTTCAAGAATTATTCAGCCTTATCTAACAATAAATCGTCAGTCTGCCAAGAAGTACGGTGGACTCGTCGGCTTTCAATTGCTATTAAAAAACCTGGTTATTTAAACCGGCCATTTACCTCAGTCTTTCACAGGGTTTAAAGTGCTTCGTTTTAGAAACCTCAATATTAAAACCTCGGATGTTTTCACTCCTTTATTTATACTGTGATATATAACCCGGGTGTTTTTAAAATGCTAAATTGTAACCAATGTAACTACGCTTCTTTTTAACAATTATATTTAACCCCGTTACTAAAATTTAATAATGTATTTAACCTTGGCCCTTAAAGGTACGGCATTTAACCCGGTTTATTAAACTCGACAAGGAAAGTCCTGTTTTTTTTATGGCCATTTTAACTGAAGTATTAAATTTCGATATTTAAATTGTCTTTTAAGCTCTGTTGTAGACAGGTGTTTATGTGTTATTGTGTGTTAGTAAGTAAGTAAGTAAGTAAGTAAGTAAGTTTATTCAGGTATACACAAATACAGTTACATAGAATTATCATACATAGCAGCATATGTGTAGAGAACCTGGGATAACCCAAAAAAGTCAGACAGAGTGACTTATTTCCATTGGTGTTATTGTGTGTTATGTGGTGTTAGTGTATGTTATGTGGTGTTAGTGTGTGTTATGTGGTGTTTTTGTGTGTTAAGTGGTGTTATTCTGTGTTATGTGATGTTATTGTGTGTTATGTGGTGTTAGTGTTATGTGGTTTTAGTGTTATGTGGTGTTATTGTCTTATGTGGGTTAGTGTTATGTGGTTTTTAGTGTTATTGGTTTTAGTGTTATGTGGTGTTATTATGTGTTATGTGGTGTTAGTGTTATGTGGTGTTATTGTGTGTTATGTGGTGTTAGTGTTATGTGGTGTTATTGTGTGCTACGTGGTGTTATTGTCTGTTACGTGGTGTCAGTGTGTGTTATGTGGTGTTAGTGTGTGTTACGTGCACCACTCACCCTTTTCCCCTCATCAATTCTATGATTCACCTCATCTTTCATAGACCCATCCGCTGACACGTCCACTCCCAAATATCTGAATACATTCACCTCCTCCATACTCTCTCCCTCCAATCTGATATCCAATCTTTCACCACCTAATCTTTTTGTTATCCTCTTAACCTCACTCTTTCCTGTATTCACTTTTAATTTTCTTCTCTTACACACCCTACCAAATTCATCCACCAACCTCTGCAATTTCTCTTCAGAATCTCCCAAAAGCACAGTGTCATCAGCAAAGAGCAACTGTGACAACTCCCACTTTGTGTTTGATTCTTTATCTTTTAACCCCACACCTCTTGCCAAGTCCCTCGCATTCACTTCTCTTACAACCCCATCTATAAATTTATTGAACAACTACGGTGACATCACACAACCTTATCTAAGGCCTACTTTTACTGGGGAATAATCTCCCTCTCTCCTACATACTCTAACCTGAGCCTCACTATCCTTGTAAAAACTTCACTGCTTTCAGTAACCTACCTCCTACACCATACACCTGCAACATCTGCCACTTTGACCCCCTATCCACCCTGTCACATGCCTTTTCCAAATCCATAAATGCCACAAAAACCTCTTTACACTTATCTAAATACTGTTCACTTATATGTTTCACTGTAAACACCTAGTCCACCCCCCCTCCTACCTTTCCTAAAGCCTCCTTGTTCATCTGCTATCCTACTGTCCGTCTTACTCTTAATTCTTTCAATAATATCTACCATATTCTTTACCAGATATACTCAACAGACTTATTCCCCTATAGTTTTTGCACTCTTTTTTTATCCCCTTTGCTTTTATACAAAGGAACTATGCATGTTCTCTGCCAATCCCTAGGTACCTTACCCTCTTCCATACATTTATTAAATAATAACACCAACCACTCCAAAACTGTATCCCCACCTGCTTTTAACATTTCTATCTTTATCCCATCAATCCCGGCTGCCTTACCCCCTTTCATTCTACCCACTGCCTCACGAACTTCCCCCACACTCACAACTGGCTCATCCTCACTCCTACAAGATGTTATTCCTCCTTGCCCTATACACGAAATCAAAATATTCCCTCCATCTTCCCGATACCTCTAACTCTTCATTTAATAACTCTCCTCTCCTATTTTTAACTGTCAAATCCAACTTATTAATCTCACTCCAAAACTTTTTCTTATTTTCAACAAAATTTGTTGATAACATCTCACCCACTCTCTCATTTGCTCTCTTTTTAGATTGTTTCTTCACTCTCTTAACCTCTCTTTTTTTCTCAATATACTCTTCCCTCCTTGTATCACTTTGTAAAAACCTCTCATATGCTAACTTTACATCATCATTCCACCAATCGCTCTTCTTCCCTCCTGCACCCACTTTCCTGTAACCACAAACTTCTGCTGAACACTCTAACACTACATTCTTAAGCCTACCCCATACATCTTCGACCCCATTGCCTATACTCTCACTAGCCCCAATAGTTGTTTATAGCTTACCTTAACTGTCCTCCAATAGTTGTTTATATCTTACCTTAACTGTCTCCTCCTTTAGTTTATACACCTTCACCTCTCTTTTACTTGCTGCTTCTGTTTATCTTGTATCCCATCTACCTTTTACTCTCACTGTAGCTACAACTAGAAAGTTATCTGATATATCTGTGGCCCTCTATAAACTTGTACATCCCGAAGTCTACTCGACAGTCTTTTATCTACCAATACATAGTCCAATAAACTACTGTCATTACGCCCTACATCATATCTTGTATACTTATTTATCCTCGCTTTTTAAAATACATATTACCTATAACTAAACGCCTTTCTATACAAAGTTCAATCAAAGGGCTCCCATTGTCATTTACACCTGGCACCCCAAACCTGCCTACCACACCCTCTCTACATGTTTCTCCTACTTTAGCATTTAGGTCCCCTACCACAATTACTCTCTCACTTGGTTCAAAGGTTCCTATACATTCGCTTAACATCTCCCAAAATCTCTCTCTCTTCTCTACACTCCTCTCTTCTCCAGGTGCATACACGCTTTTTGTGACCCACTTTTCACATCCAACCCTTATTTTAATCCACATAATCCTTGAATTTACACATTTATATTCCCTCTTCTCCTTCCATAACTGATCCTTCAACATTATTGCTACCCCTTCCTTAGCTCTAACTCTCTCAGATACTCCTGACTTAATCCAATTTATTTCTCCCCACTGAAACTTGTGTGTTATGTGGTGTTGTGTGTTACATGGTGTTGTATGTTATGTGGTGTTATTGCGTGTTATGTGGTGTTATTGTGTGTTATGTGGTGTTATTGTGTGTTATGTGGTGTTATTGTGTGTTACGTGGTGT